ATATATTGTTTTTTAATCGCACTTACTCCCAACCCCACTCCCCCCCTAGCCACCCTTCTTACCCCACCCCTGCCATCCTGTCCCAATCCAGCCACTGACCCGCCCCCCAGATCAGCTCGAAATGATTAGGCTAGAGGCCGCCTGCATTCTGGCCAGGCTGGTCCGCTCAGGGGACGAAGGGCCTGAGCCCCCCTCTTCACCGGGAATAGGCCCACCCAGGTGACTTCCCTCAGGGCCCCAGTGTCCCAGCCGACAGCTTACGGGGTGATGGGGGGCGCTAAACGGTGGCACCTGCGGCCCGGGTCTTCCTGGGGGTGGCGTGCGCGGCTCTCACTTCCACCTTGCTGAGTCTACTCTGCCTCACTGTGGGAGGCGCCCCGCGTGGCCTCGAGACTGGTCACCTACCCCGCGCCGACCAGCGTGTCCCCGCAGGACCCGGATCCGGGGCGCCTTCGTTGCGAACTGCCTGCCAGGAGCGCCTAGAGGTGAGCTTTCTGCCCCTAAGTCCGTGGTGAAGACTAGGTCCCTGGGTGTTAGCACTTTCGGATGGGAACGTTTTATCACACGCTGCCTGTGCTTCACCATCTAAAGGGTTTTATTTTGTCTTAATAACTTGAGTTCTCTTTCGGCCTGGTGTAAAACACCCAGGGGAATGACTGTCACTGGACAGACGACCTTCTCTGAGAGGACATGAAGCCTCGCTGTCACTTGGGCAGGAAGGAGAAAGCTGGTGGCTCCGGAGCAGTTGGCAGCGCAGGTAGCTCAGGTAACTCGCGGCTCCAGAGGAGCCTCTCGGAGCCCGAGAGAGGCTTAGCTAGGGACGCAGTCTCCGAAAAACCCCACTCCCCATCCCCCTAATACCCTTACCCCACCAGGGTCCCGCAGAAGTGGAGGCCAGGAATCACCGTAGGGCACTCCCAGGGGCTCCACAGGGAACCTCGTGTGTGCAGGCCTGAATGTCGGCGCCCACCCAACAGGTGCCTCTTCCTCGGGGCCGTCTCGGGTGGGTGACCTGTAGGGGGAGAACACTTTCGGCGGGAGCTCCGGCCTACAGCTCCCCTCCTCCCACACCGCTTCCGCCCCCACCCCAGCCCTTTTGGCTCTGCAGCTCGCACAGGGGCCTCTTTTATCGTATCCGAGTATCCATAGGATTCCGAGTCGCACGGGCGCAGAGCGAGGCTGCAGCGCACGATCGATAGGCTCCAGTCGCCACCGGAACCTTCCAGGCACAGGCTGAGTTTGATCGTCATCGGGTCCAAGGGAACCAGTTGCAGATTGTCTTCCTTGGCCTGCAGGCTTGTAGGGGCGGTCCAGGCAGTTACACTAGACTAGCCTCTTCTCCTGCTAACCCCCAACCCATTCGTCCTTCAGCCCTCTAATCCCGGCCCCCCATTGCTCCCCACGCCAGTACTCTTACAAACTACAGCCCTGCCCCCTCTACCCATCGATCTTCACTTTGCCCTCTAGCACAGCACTCCGCCCACCCCCCATTCTCCCACACACACACCACTTCCCACGCACTTTGGGCCACTGCAAGAACCCAGCAGGGGCGGTCCAACAATTTTTCCACCCCAAGTAGGACCTCCGAGTCCAGTGCAGGGCCAATATCAATTATTTTATATCAATTATTGCAGAGTGAAAAAGGAAAGAGAAAGAGAGCCCAAGAGAGGCCCCAGCCACCTTGTGGAGCATGCCACCGACTGGATCTAGGACATTGTTGGTCTTGGGAATTCAGCCAGGGAGAAGCCTTAAAAGAGTCGCACACACTTGGATGACAAGCACTGGCAGCAACAGATCAGATTGCAGCCATTCAATTTGCTTCCAATTAAATAGTTTAAGTGAAGAAAATCAGGTCTAACTTTTTATCTTAAAGACTGGCCTTGAGAATTTCCATTTCTAAAGACCAATTCCTGCTGTGGTTTCATTAGCATTTGGGGCTGGGCCTCCCACCCATCCCCTTCTCCCCCAATCCGTCTCTGCCTCGGGGCAGAAAAGAAAACAGCGAATTATTACAAAAACATCCCCAGTTTGGAGCAGGAGCTTAAGCTGGGAATACAGTCGATTTTGACATCAATTAAATATCTAACCAGACAAGTGCACGTGGCTTTGGAGGGTTTCTCCGTCACCCAGGGTGAGTCTCCAGAACACTGCCTGCTCCCTCTCTGCTCAGTGCTGCTGATTCTAAAGACAGCCTCTTCCTGAGTGTATTTTTCCCCCAGCAATTACACTCCTCCACCGAAATCTAAATTTTCCATACTGCTGCCTGCTACTAATAAAAACCGTCTACCTTGCACTATTAAACAGTCGAATCGCACTACATGCCGTTTTTATTGGTAGTGACTGTAGCAAATTAAAATGCCTACGCAGAGACATTAAAACTCACGGTCTGCATTGTTACTGGAATATATAACTCGGTTTCGATTTAAAGCTCCCTGATTTTGTAAAATCACTTTTCCTTTTCTTAGATTAAAGTTGGCTTGGCTTTCTCTTTGAAAAATCAATCGAAAAGACATGCGGCAAGTGTCGAGGCCAGACTCAGTGGCTCCTGGCACGGCCACCTGCGAGGGTGGCCTGGACTCGCTGGAACTGCGTGTCCAGTCACTGCGGGGATCGTTGCTCCCAGGGAGCAGGGGCCTGGACGCATCTCTTGTGGGCGCAGAGGGGCGTCGGGCGTGCGGAGAGTGTGGGACGGTCTGGTACTTGGCTACTTACTGCTTCTTTCCAGTTGCCCTCCGAGCTGGAATGGGAGAAATCGGGCAGGCAGGCGAGGCAAACCTAGGAACTCCCTTGACGGCTCCGGCATTGGCAGTTGCGTGGGCCATGTGCACTTCCAGATTTAGGATGGGCCCTCCCCCTCGTATGCATTTTAAAAAAAGAGTTTAATTTGGTCACGTTTTTATTTCTTGTCCCCACAGTGGCCGCTGCATTTAGGACAAGGAGGCGTGGACGTGCGCGTCTCAAGAAGCCGAGTTCCCCACGAGGCCAAGCGCTAAGAAACGCCAGAAACGCGCCAGGACTTCAGGGCCAACCGGGAAAGCGGCAGTCGCGGGCCCAGGCGCTCTGCAGACGCGGACCTTGCCGGCTGTCTGGCCGCGGGGAGGCCGGAGCGGCGCGGGCCCGAAGTCATGCGCGCGGGCGGCGAGGGGGCGCTGTGGCCCGCGGCTGAGGCCTCGTCCCTGCTGCGGTGGCCCCAGCAACGTTCCAGGCCACCGACGGGCGGCGGGCGCCCCTGCCCTGGCGCGCGACCTACCCCTTTCCACTTAGGTTTAATTCGGCAAAGAAGAACAATTATAACAGGCATTGCAATAAAGCTTACTCCGCATACGACCTTTTTCTCTTTGTCTTATTGCCCTAACCCTCGCTGGACTTTTTGTAAGTTTGGTGAATATTTGAGGGCGTGCGTGTAATTTTTGTTTTTGTTTTTTTGTCAATTAAGATTAATACATAGCCCAGCCGATATGGCTTAGTGTTTGAGCGTTGACCCATGCACCAAGAAGTCACCGGTAGGATTCCAGGTCAGGGCACATGCCTGGGTTGCAGGCTCCTTCCCCAGTACCTGGCTTGCAGGAGGCAGCCCATCAATGTTTCTATCTCTTTCTTCCTCTCTCTCTCTTTTTAAAAAAATCAATAAAAGCATCTTTTTTTGTTTAAAGTATTACATGTCTCCTTTCCCCCCAGTTGACACCCCCACCACTAAAAAAACATTTTTTTAAAAAAAGATGAATACATAGATTTCACATGGGTTACCTTTCGTGAGGTAATATTTAAAATATGAGTAATTTCAGTGTATAAAATTGACTGCGTTCCCAATGAAGGCCCCTTTGGTCCCAAGATCCTCCTAGCTGTTTGCAGAGGGCGTGACAGCAAGAAAAAAGGTGAGGAGAGTGAAAAGTGTGGTTCTGCAATTTCCTTTTCCTCTCTCTCTCTCTCTCTCTCTCGCTCTCGCTCTCGCTCTCTCTCGAAAACAGAAGTACGTGGTTATAAATTGTATAAAAGTTAAGTCCAAATGAAAAGTTTCTTTCAAGCATGGGGTTCCTCTCTCTTGCCATTCCTTGAGCATGTTTTTTAGGGGTCCGGACACTGGTATTCCCAGAGTCTTCAGATGCTGCAGCGTGCGCCTGGAAACTTGCTCAGAGGGGACAGTCCCCGCCCCCCAACAGGCTGTGGGGCCCCGCCGCTCCTGTCCTGGAACCCCAAAGGGGAACCCAGCTCAACCCAGCTCAGAGGTTTTAAAAGGGGCCGGAAGGCTTGAGTCCTTCAGGGAGTGCCGGGGGACCTTTCGAGGGGACCCAGAGTTCGGGAGGCCCGGAAGTGTCGGGGCGCCGGGTCCCTGGACTCCGGGCGCGGTCCTTTAGGTTCTAAGACCAGCGTCCTCACTTCCAGGGCTCCTCCCCACCTAACTGACTCTGTAGCTCCTCATCACTGTGAGGTCTCTTCCTTGCTGACTCGTCCCTACCGGTTTCTTTAGTGGGCAGCTCCCCTCCCAGCCTCTCCTCCGACGATCCGCCTCCGACTTGCATCCAGAAGGTTCTCTCCCCGCTGCGCCCAGAGAATCCTCATCTCGCCTTTTCTCCGCATCTCCAGGACTGCCTCTCTGTCCTCTCACTTCTCCGTCCTTCTCCTCCTCCCGTCGCTCCTCTCCTCGCCCCTTGACCGAGTTTCCCGGCTGCGCTGGACCCGCGTGCCCTGATCCCGAGCTCCGGGTCCACGTGGGCCCCGCCGGCCTCTGCAGCCCCCGACTGGGAGGGGGCCCTGGAGCACCGGGAGAGGGAGAAAGGGGGACCGGCCGGCCGGGTCTGGACAGGCCGGAGTTCTTTTAAGGGATCGGAGTCACGGGAGACACGTTTCCACAGGAGCGAAGACCCGAGCGCCCTGCTCTTCGTCTGCGGCTGGTTGGAAGGAGAAAAGTTGGAAGCGCTCAGCCTTTGCACTTGCACACCCAGCACTTGGGCAGGCCCGGACCCTCCGACAGAGCGACAGACAGGGCGCGCGCCGCTTCCAGGAGAGGTCCGCGCGGCGCCGCTGCAGCTATTCCGGGCGAGTGGAAACAGATGAAGAGTTGTGAGGGTTTTTTTTTTTCTTCCTTTTTTTTAAAAGTGTTTCTGCAAGACAGTCTTTGGAAGAACTTAGCTCACCTCCGTCCTCCGCCCCTCTGGCAGCTGCTCCTCCGAGGTGGCTCAGGCGACTTTCGGGTGTTCGCGACCAGGAGGCCCCAGAGCCGCGGGAGGCCCGCTTCTGCCGGCGCGGGAGCAGGTAGGACTCCTCGATCGCAGAAACATCGGAGAAGGAAGATTTCCTCCAGTCTTTGACAATTGCGTTTATCAAACAAGTGAGGCTCTCTGGAGCATTTGTCTGAGGCCACGTTTCACATCCTTCTGCAAACACTGATTCGGTTTGAGTCGCCCAGACCACCAGTTCTGCAGCATGTGGTCGAGCGCCCTTGCCCCCTTCCCCTTCCCGAACTCTCTGGCACGCTCTGTCATACCAGGGATTGTGTAGGTAAGGAAAGGGTGTGGGTTTTTTTCTCCCTTTTGTAAAAAAATTGGAGGGGAGGCAGAAAGAAAACTTTGACAAATTTGGTCGTATTTAAAGTAAAAACTCAAGTTGAACAGAAACTAAGTTACAGAAACCGACTCTGAGAGAAGACATATGCAACACTTATAAATGCCAAAGACTGCCAGGCAGAAGCCCGGAGAATTCTGACAGTCTGTGAAGACAAGACCCCAGATGGAAAATGGGTCAGCGACAGGCACAGACCCTCTGCCTCAGCTGCGCACACTCACTAGTGGAGGGGAAATTTCCAGACAGTATGCAAGATGCCACTCTACACCGCTCGATGACATCAACCTGGTCCCGGTCCCGGGTGTGCAGAGCCAGGCAGCTCTCTCCACGGCTGCGCTCTTTTAAATGGCCATAAAGAAGTTGGGAAGACGTGTGGCAACAAACGAAAGACCAGGAGATGCCCACATCCTGTCACCCTGCAACTCCTGGGCTCATTGTCCGCAGCGGAGGAAATGCCAGGCACGGCGCCGGCAGCATTGTGTGCAAAGTGCAAGACTGGACACCTCCTGAATGGCAATCAGGAGGGGCCTGAGTGAAGAATGGGGCACATTGCATGCAGCAGAATGTTCCCTGGGGCGGAGAGTGAGGGAAGTAGCTCCACTTGTATCAACACGAATAAGTCCTGAGAGTGTAAATTTGGGTGGGAAAAATAATAATGAAAAAGAAGGATGCAGAGCCGATGGTGTTGATGATGGAGGTGTACAAACAATACTGTGCTATTTACAGGTGCGGGGGAGGGGGCTGTCCTCAGAAGTAGAAGGACCTTCTCCCCCTTTGGGCACAGTGAGGGCCCTTGAGGAGGGTTGTGGGGAGGGGGGTTGTCAGTTTCATTACTAATATTTAATTTCTGAGAAATATACCTGAAATAAATGACAAAATGGTAATGATTATTAAACTTGAATGATGATTACTTGGGATTATGTCATTCTACATATTTCTAGTGTGTGAAATATTTTGTCTTGAAAATTAAAACAAGAAATAAGTACTGGCATTTGAAAGGCGTGTCCTAGGACAGAGGTGTAATCTAATTTAGGAGTTCTTTCTTTAAAAAAAAATCTTAAAAGTTTGCATTCTTCATCTCTTTCTTCCTCCCTCTGTTACCCCACCCTTCAAAAAACATAAACATATCCTGGATCTGCAGTCTAGACCTTGAAACTCATGGTCACATGTGTGCACGTCCTTGTGCCGTTATTCAAAGCATGGCAGGAAGAGACAAGTGTCCTGGGCAGGGTGCAGGGGCTGGTCACTCGCTCTCTTCATGGAGGATACAAAGAGGCTCCCGGAAGAGAAGGACAGTGCTGGATGCAGCCAGGCCTCCAGTGGGCCACCTGCACCCCTCTGGGCTGGGGGGTGATGTGCCTTTATTCTGTGTAGAATTCTGCACCTTCTCTTTAGATCACAGTAAACATATTTTATGCATGCAAATCAAGATAAAAAGAGGGCCTGTGGAAAGACAGGGGCGGAAAAAGGCTGAGAAGAGGGGCAGAACACAGTCTGGAAAGGAAAAGAAAATAGAGGCAGGGGTGAAGGAGGAGGACTCCAGGCTTATGGTAGGTCCTCCCCTCACACCTGCTCTCTCTCAGAATAAAAGGCCAAGCCTTTTGACCCCTTAGCACTTTCTAGAACCAATTCACTCTCTGCCCTCATCCTCCCCACAACAGCCCAAGAAATCCTGAACTTCAAATATTTGAAGGCCTTGCATAGAGGAAGAGGCCTTGAGGCCCAGTCCTGCAGCCAGGCCTCATTACATGACTACATGGTCCCTGTGGGCCATTCTGTTCCTTAACCCATTCAGAGCCAGGCTGAAAGAAGGGCACTATTGCTTCTGCCAGTGGCTGTCAGGCTGAGGAATCTTCCTATCCTATTTCAAGACATTATGTGACTCCAGGAGTCAAGAAAGTGTAGTGTGGTATTGGTGGAGGGACAGACATGTAGAGCATTGGAACAGAAGTGAGTCCAGGAAGTTAGTTTTCTTGACAATTGGACTTCCATAAGAAAAAAAAAAGAACCCACAAACAAATAAACAAAAATATCTCAACCCAAATTTTATATCTTAGATGATAATCGACTAATAATGGGTCACAGACTTAAATGTAAAAATTTAAAACTTTTAGAAAAATATAGGAGGAAATCTTCAAAATCTAGGCCTAGACAAAGAATTCTGAAGACCAGACACCAAAAGCACAGTCCATAAAAGGAAAGCTTGATAAATTGTATTTCATCCAAATTTAAAACTTTTGTTCTGTGAAAGATCCTGCTAAGAGAATAAAAAAAAAAAAAAAAAAGGAGTGGCAGACTGAGAGGAAATATTTGCAAACCCTGTATCCAGCAAAGGACTAAAAGGACTAGTATCTAGAATATATAAAGAATACTCACAACTCAACAAAATAAGACAACCAAAACAATCCAATTAGAATTTGGGCAAAAGACACAAAAAGCCATTTTACCAAAGAGGATATACAGATGGTAAATAAGCATATAAAATGATTTTTAACATCATTAGACATCAAGGGAATGCAAATTGAAACCACAATAAGATATATGCTCCTATCAGATTGGCTAAAATAAAAACACAAAATAGTGACTACATCAAAGGCTGATGAAAATTCAGAGAAACTAGATCATTCATACATTGGTGGTGGGAGTATGAAATGGTACATCTACTCTGAAAAGCTGTTTGGCAGTTTCTTATAAAACTTGCAACCACAATCTAGCAATTGCGTTCTTGGGCATTGGTCCCAGAGAAATAGAAACATGTTTACACA